TCTGGCACCAGGCAAGGGCCAGGAGGGTCCCTCCACCCTGTGCCTGCTCACACACAGGCTTTACAGGACATCCACCAGGAATTTATCCACCACAGCAACAGGAATTTATCTACCACAGCAACAGGAATTTATCCATCACAGCAAAATGCTCAGAAACACCACGAGCAAAGTGAGGAAATGCACCCAAACCACCTCCTGTGCCCCTTGCTCCACATTAGCAGCTGCTTCCCCCTGCTCTGCACCCTCCAAAGGACTCAGTCTGCCCTTGCTGCTGACTCCCCAGGTCCCAAACCCCTTTTCTTGCCCCAAAATCCCCCTGGCACTGCCCCCATCTCCCTCCCACACCCGCTCTGCTTGTGGCTGTTTCTGTGGAGCCCCTCTGTGCTTCTCCAGCTCTCAGGGTATAAATATGGTGTGAGATAAATATTGTCATGGCACATTACCCTGGTCCTTCCTCACCCATACACGCTGCAGACAGAGTTATGCATCTGTTTATGTGTGTGTATATATCTAATTATACTGTATAAACTGTATATCCACCTCTCTATTGTGTATATTTAATAGAAACACCAGTTAATTGCCCTCAATAAATATATATGGGGATTAACTGTATTGACATTAAATTTACTGGTAATCTCCTCGAAAATAAACACCCCAAATAAAACAAACACATAAAATAAAAGTAGGGGACATCACAGTTTTTTATGTTTGGTTCTTTCCACTGGGAGCTTTGCCAAGTGAGAGCGCCGAGGTCTCCAAAACCTTTTTCCAAAGACACCCCCAGGGAGCTGTTGGCTCCTCTTGGAGGTGTTTGCAGCTGCAAGAGCCTCGTGTGTGGTGGCAGGAAGGCTTTGGTGGCCTCGCCGTGCCCGGGGGTGACAGCTGGGCTGGCAGATTGGCGATGGGCTCCGGTGGCTTCCAGCCCCAGGTCAGTGCCTGCAGCACGGCCCTGCTGCAGTCATTAGGGCTGAGCAGAGTCATTAGGGCCAGGCAGAATCATTAGGGCCAGCAGATGTTTGGCAGCGTGTGCCAGATGGGCTGGGGGGGCAGGTGGCCATGGGGCAAGCAGGAGCACCCCGTTAATGCCAGGCGGGCACGGGTGGCTGCTGGCACCGAGCCCACCACAGGGTCTGTCCTGGCCCCACTAAAACCCTCTCTTCAGCTCTCACATCTTTTTCCAGCCGAGAAAGAGGTTTCATTGTTTTTGGGGGCATTGCCATTGAGGTTTCATTGTTTTTGGGGGCATTGCCATTGAGGTTTCATTATTTTGGGGGCATTGCCATTGAGGTTTCATTGGTTTTTGGGGCATTGCCATTGAGGTTTCATTGTTTTTGGGGGCATTGCCATTGAGGTTTCATTGGTTTTTGGGGCATTGCCATTGAGGTTTAATTGTTTTTGGGGGCGCTTCCACTTGAGGTTTCATTATTTTGGGGGCACTGCCATTGAGGTTTCATTGGTTTTAGGGCATTGCCACATGAGGTTTCATTATTTTGGGGGCACTGCCATTGAGATTTCATTGTTTTTGGGGCATTGCCATGTGAGGTTTCATTGTTTTTGGGGGCATTGCCATTGAGGTTTCATTGGTTTTTGGGGCATTGCCATTGAGGTTTCATTGTTTTTGGGGTTCTATCTCGAGCTCCGGGCCTGCACAAGGAAACTGCAGAGCTCAAAGCCAGCCCAGGCTGCTGTGGGCACAGGGATGGACTTGAGCTCCTTCATCAGGGTAGGGAAGCTCCTGCTGGAATGGCAGCATGGTGCCAGCCAGCAGATTATCCAGCAGGAGTTCCACAGGGCCCAAATCAGCTGCTGACAACTGGGTTATGTGGGGCCTTCCCCTATTTGAGTCTTCAGATCTTCCCCTGCTCTGTTTTGGCTCCAGCAGAAACCCCTGACAATGCTAAAGCTGTAGTTTAACATTTGAAAATTATCTGTGCAGCCCTCCTGGATGCTGTGTTGCTAATTATTCGGTTGGAATCATTTTTGTCCTGCTCTTTCGGGCTGGCAATGGATGTGCAGCCCGTGGAGCTTTCAGCCTGGCTCCAGGAAGGACTGGGAGCCTTTGACCCCTGCCATAAATCCTCAGTTCTCATGGGTTGGGGTTTTTTTAACCAGCCAGATGAGTGTTCCTATCCACCTTCCTCAGCTCATTAATTTATTTAATCCCACGCCTCACCAGTTTGCAGACCTCTGGTTCCCCTGGAGGAAGAGGCTGCTCTAGTGCTGTCACACGTGCCCCTCTGCAAGGGGAAAACTCACCCAGCCAGGGCTCTCTGAGCATCCTGTCACCCTTTTTTACCCCCTCCTCTGCCACAGACACGAATCAAGGGAAGCTGGGCACTTGTGACTCCTTCCTTCCCTCCCTCTTCACCTCTTCTCCTGCCAGGTGCCTCCTCTCTCCCTGCAAAGCCCTGAGGGAAACACTGTCTGCACTATTCTGAGCCCATATGTTAAATTCATGTTCTTGCTGCTCTCCTGGATGCTGGGTTAATTGACAGGAGCAAAAGGCAGAGGGAAGAGGCTTCTCCAAACACGCACCCGTGGTGCTGCACACCCGCAGGTCTCCACTGGGCTAGTACGTCTTTTTAGACTCCTTGTACTCTTCTTGTGTCCCTGCCACTCTTCCAAGTAAATCTTCTCCCCTTTTTCCCCCCCAGATGAAAGCAATGGAAGTTGGTCCGTGGCTGGAGCATGCACCAACATGACCAAAAGATGTCCCAAGAGCTTTCTCATGGTATTCTTGGCTTTTCTTAGTAAATGTTTGCTCTGTACAAAATGTTCCTTAATTGTGAACCTTGAAATATTTCTAAACTGATTAATTGCTCTTTTTCTTAAGCTGGGAATTTAATTTTGCAGAGTTAAAGGGTTCCCATACTTAAGTTTTGGCCTTTGTGTTGCCTGTTCATTCCAGTCCAGAATGGATGTGGTGTCAAAAAAGGCAAACAGGAATTCTTGCTCAAACTGGTTTAGGGAGCTGGTTATGTACCTTCCCCCTCTGTTTTTGCAAGGACAAAAAACCCCAAACAACCTGTAGAAATAGTGTGGCTCTGGCAGTGAAGGAGGAGCGAGGTGGCTCAGAGGTGTCACCTGGCCCAGGTGTGGGAGGGGCTGGGTTTGATGCTCTCTGTGACAACATCTTGTCACCCCTCAGTTCCCACAGCACCACCTCTCCTGGTGACCCTAAAATGGAGCCACACTCAGGGAGCTGCAGCACACCTCAGCTGGTTTCTCCCCACCTTTGGCAACCTCTTTCCAAAGGGATTCCTAGAATTCTGCCAGCCCTGTGCTTTGTGCATGCAGCATCTGGATTCCAGCTGTGGGAATGGGCTGTTGCTGCTCTCCTTATCCCTGATGTTGTCCTTATCCTTCCTGTCCTGGTGTCACAGCCTCTGTGAATCCACCACGGAAATATCCAGGCCCGGGAGAAATCCCATGTGCTCCCATGTGCCACTGCCTCCTCCTGGCTTCAAAAACAGAGGACCCATCATTCATGGAAAATCACTCTCCTTCTGGGACACAGCAACTTGTTTGGCAATGAAATAAAAAAAAAAAAAACAAACCAAACAAAAACAAAAACAAAAAAAACCCACAAAAACAAACAAACAAACAAAAACCCCAAAAAACTAACCAACCAACCAACCAACCAACCAACCAACCAACCAACCAACCAAAACCCAAAACGAAAAACACTAAACAAAAAAACTACAAAAAACCCAAAAACAAAACAAAAAAAACAAAAAACAAAAAAAACCCAAACCAAAAAAAAAAAAAACACCAAAAAAAAAAAACAGGGGGAAAAACCAACCAACCAACCAACCAAAAAACCCAAAAAAAAACCCCCAAAACCACAAAACACCAAACAAAAAAACCCACAAAAAACAAAAACAAAAAACCAAAAAAAACCCAGAAAAAAAACCAACCAAAAAAAACCACAAAAAACCCCCCAAAAAAACCCCCAGCACCGTTGGATCTCTTAATTTGCCAGGGCTGGGAGCTGGCAGATGAATATCTTAAATAACTAATGGTGACTCAGAGGAGCATTAAACAAAGATAACATTGTCACTTCTTCTCTGCTCCTCTTTGTTCCTCACTCTTCAGCTTTGCTGCCAGTTTATTATCTCCCCAGTTTTCCTTCTGATGATCTTGTTACTGTGACAGGGTGTGCATTATCTCTGGCAGCCTCTTCCCAGCACCTGACCTGTTGTACCAACACAGGCAGGGACAAACAGGAGGGATGCTCCCGGGGGATCCCGGAGCCTCACCGAGGACTGGCTGCAGGAGGAGGGCTCTGTTTGCCAGTTTTGGGGTTGGCTGGGTGTGGGAAGCTCCAGCTGGGAGGGTCTCTCTCTCTCCACTCACCTATTTCCAGTTTGGAGGGATGCTGAAACTGAGGCTCCAGTCCAGGCTGAGGGTTCTAATCCCTTCCCAAGGCTCCATCCCACAGCAGCCAAGGGTGATCCATGCTGCACCAGAGGAGCTCTGCAGCTCCAGGCAGCCCTGGGTGGGCTGATAATCCCAGCAAACCCCACCAGCAGCACCAGCAGTGCTCCCATTCCCTGGATCCTTGGCTCATTTGTGACCAGGACGTGCTGATTTTACCATTCCCATTTCCTTCCTGCTGCTATTTGGGGAATCTGGTGCCTGCCAGGCAACCACCACCCTCACAAGGCCATCCCAGCCTCCTCCTCAATAAAATCCATGTCACACCAGGAATCACCCACTGCAGGAAGGAAACATCTCCCTCACATGCAGGCTCGTGGCTCCCAAGGACCAGGATATTCTGTCCGTGCTTGATATTTGGAAAAACATCTTCAAAGCTGAGAAATGTCTGCATAAAAGACTCTGCTCTGGCCTTGGGGAAGTAGAAAATCTCATTAGGAATTAGCTTGGGATCAAATAGGATCTCTCAAGTGATTCTGGAAGGCCAGGTCAGTCTGAGGGAGAAGTGCTTGATGAGCAGAGCCACCTCGGATTTCTTTGAAGAAAAGCACCGCATGAAATTTTGATATCACTAAGTATTTAATAGATCTAATTTACAAAGCACTGCTGCTCCCTATTCCCAGAGTGCTAAAAATCCTGCAACCCATTTCTTTACAAGTAGGACTCCACTTCATTCATGGCTTTTAATGCAGCAAGCTGTTGAACAGCTGTGAGGAATGTTTTAGGACAGGAAGCCGGAGCCCTTTGCAAGCACACCAGGCTCTGCTGTACCTTCAGCAGCCAGGAGAGCTCTGGAGCTCTGTGCTGCCAGCAGGGACCAGGCTTTTGTCACTCAGCTTGCAAGCACAAGGTGTGAAAGGATCAGGAGTTATCCCAGGACAAGCAGCCTCTGCTCAAGGGAACTTCCAAATGAAGGGAGTGGCCAAAATGTCCCCAAATCCCACATTTGTAGGGATTTGTAGGGCACTTTTATCGTGTCACCAGTGCTCAGGTGTCCCTTTGGGGGATGGCTGCGTGTCTGGCCGTGGGATAGAGGGGACTGTGACAAGTGTGGTCACAGTGACCACTTTGGTGTGACCAGACCACAGCACAGCATCCCATGGGACATTTGGATCCCCAGGGGACCTGCCACTCCTTAATTAGGGACAGTGACACCTCCAGCCACGTGCTGGGATCTGTCTGCTCCTCGAATCCCTCCCATCCTACCGTGCCCAACATCTCAGCAGAGATAAATCCTTCCTCTGGTGCCACACGAGGCCAGGCCTTGCTCCTTTGTGACACCAGCCCAGAATTCCGCGTGACAACGGAATGTCCCAACATCCCAGCACAGCCCCTGCCAGGATCCCCAAAGCCAGGGTGGATGCCATCCAGCTCCTCGTGGGAGTGTTCTGAAGACATTAATCTCCTGTCAGGACCAGAGAAGTATCCTGGATTTCGGTGAGTCTTGTAAGAACATCGGTTTTTTTAATAAATATTTGAGCAGCTTCTCTGCTCCTGCTGGCTCCAGGGAGGGCAGAGCTGAGAGCAGAGAAGTGTCCATCAAACCAGGTGGCCTCAGGAGTGGGAGCAAGGAGAGAGCTGACTCATGCCAATCATCGACCCTCCTGCCTTCCCTGCACACACATTCCTTGTGGAGAGTTCTCCAGGCTGGAACCACCCTCACTGTAGCTCTAAAAAAAAAAAAAAATTGGTATTTTCAAGACCTCAGGTTTGTTCCCAGCCACAGCCTTCCACCACAGCAGCCGCCTCTCACCCTGTTTCCTTCCTGGAAATTCGTTTAAAAGGCAGATGTTTGCTCAGTGAGCTCAACTGGAAGTAACTTGCCTTACCTGGGAAGGTTGTGAGCACCCACAAATGGTTTTTACAAGTGCCTGAGTGAAAGACACCCAGTTTCAGAAGCTTTCTCAGCCAGAGTCTCTGCACATTCCATGATAGAGCCTATTAAAAGAAGGTAATAAGTATCTTAAGCAAAAAAATAATACAATCCCCTAAAAAAACCAACTGAAAAACCCAAAAAACCCAACTGAAAACCCCATAAAACCAAAATAAAAAAGCCCCGAGAACTTTTCCTTTCATACCAAATGCTTAGGAGGAATTTAAAAATGTATTTCTGTGTGTGCTGGAACACAAGAAGATAAAAGTGAACCCCCTGCTCTTCCCACTTGGATTTCATTTTGACCAAAGAAAAATTCTTTCCTCATGATTAATTCCTCCAGTTCCCTCTGTTACTGTAAGCTGGGGAAACAGAAAAGAAGAAAGAGGGTAAAAAGGAAGAAATAGAGAGAAAAATCACTGCTTTGGTGTCTATATTGGGCTTGCTCTTCTTCTGGAGGTTGAAACAAACACCACGTGCCAGGAAATAATGGGATAACGATGGTGAGAAAACAGCAGGGAAGGCAGAACACTTTCCCCAGACCTTGCTGCCTCTCTGCTCCCAAGGCAAATTAATTTGTATTTCTTATCCCAGAAGGCAGTGCAGGAGCAGGAATGAAATATCTCCATCCCTGGAGCTACTGCTGGTCTTTGCCACCTGCCCTGGCCACCGTTGAGCACCTCCAGGGTGCTGACAAAGACCTGTGGGAGCAAATCCTGATCCTCTCCAGGAGGCAAGGCCAGAACATCGCCAAACTAGGCTGGTTGGAATGGTCCCTGCCTCTGTGATTAAGGGAATTCATAAATATTCAATGTTTCTTGGCAGCTGGGAGTGCTTCACTTGTTCCAAGTATCTCAGGGGGGATGGGGAAGGCAGGATGAGCCTTAGCATTTCTGACACCCCGCAGAGACAATGAGCCGGGGAAGGAGAGCGCTCCTCTCCTTGCAGGGAAACGTTTCACGTCGGGTGATTTGAATAATTCAGCCTTCCACTGGTCTCTTTAAATGTTTGATGCCTGGGAGTTGAGCTTTAAGATCCGACCTCCTGTGAGTCCCAGGGCTTGGGTTCCAGTTGGGTGCTGCGTGCTTTCCCTGCTGGTGGTTTAAACAACTTCCCAAGCCTAAGAGCACAAATTTCTTCCTTCACTGCGGGAAATCCTGGTGCTCTCACACCAGAAAATATCAACCATCCCATTCTGGACTGTGATTGGGAGAGGAGAAAAGAGCAGCAGTAATGAGTGAGGAGAAAAATGCTTAATTACATCCTGCTTCTATTGGAGACACCAACCAAAGCTGCACGATAATGGAGCCAGGCACCAACGTGAGCACAGGAAAGTGACTTGAGTGGGTTTCCAGCAGCCAAACCCTGTGGGAGATGAGGCTCCCACCCTGTCCTGGAGCTCTGGGGTGGCACAAGGCACTGGTGGCCTCCAGCCCAATGCTCCTCAGTGGCCAGTGAATGGTCCTGAGCCCATCTGAGGGAACATCCCAGCTGCTGCCTCAGTCTGCCAGGAGAAGCACCATCCCTGTCTGCCACAGCTGCAAGGGACAGGGCTCTTTGTGGATTTCTGGACAAGCCCCAGGATTTTATTACCTCCTGGTGGATTTGGAATGCTTGCATCTCCTCTGACTGACCAGATTTTGGCCACTCTCAGAGACAGGACACAGTGCCAGGCACATTCTGAGTCCGGCCAGGTTGGGACATGCCAACATCCAAGGAACCACACCGTTCCTGCTCTCCTAGCCACTGGCAGATTGTCACAGGCAGAAACTCAGTGTCCCACAGCTAGAGTTTGCCATCAGCTTTGCTCAGGAGAGACCCTTCACTTCCATGTGAGATCCTGATCTTGCAAGCCCTTATCCTAAATTATCCATGAAATGTGTGGCCATGAGTTATGCATGAGATGAATAATCCATGAAGAGGGTTGGTCGCCTTCTCTCTTTTTCAACTCTGGAGGTTCCAGCCAGGTATCAAAGCACAGAGTAGTTTGGGATTTCCCCCCCCTCTCAAGAATCTGCATTTAGCAAATGTACAAAACCTGGGAAAAAGCTGAAATATTCAGTGGGTTGTGATGGAAGAACACAGAAGGCTGGCTGGGAGTGCACAGGGTCGGCCTTTCCCCAAAGAGGCAGTTTCAGATCCTAAATCCATTCAGTGGTTACTCATTCCCCTTGGGAGCTCCAGGAAGGATGGAGACAACCTGTCTGCCTCTGACAGCACCCTCCCACACCCAGGCTGGTGCTGGCTGTGCTCAACTATGAGCTAGAGCTTGGGATACACACACAGCAAAGCCTTAATTTTGACGGATACTTGATTTTGCTGTGAAAGTTTATGGCAGAGTCGTGTCGCTGTTCTGGAGGCACTTTGGTCAGTTCAGAGGAGGGAGGATTCTGGAAATCTGCTATTTTTCCAATGGGGAAAATATGAGGGTTTGTTGAGAACTCCTGCCGAGCTGCCCCACCTCCCAACCCCGCTAACTTTGTGATTTATCCCCACGCAAGACCAGCAGCGATGTCGGCACCGGCTTTCCAGTGCGAAGCGCGCGGCCTGTCCTTGCGGGAACACACACCCTACCACACCTCCAGGGACATCCGCTACATCTTCCTGGAGAGCTGCAGGAACATCCCTGCCTCCCACCTGCTGCACGGGGCGGGCGCCAGCCACGGCCCCGCGTCCCGCCGCCCTCCGGCCCAGCGCTACCTCAGCGCCGATGAAAACGGCGGTTCCTCTCTTCCTCGGCACCCCCGCGCCTCCCTCGCCTTGGAGGTGCCAGCCATGGATGTGAGAGGCTCCCCCGAGGCCAAGAAGAGGCTGCCGGTGTTCCGGCAGCTCTGTGGAGAGGCCGTGGAGGAGCTGAAGATGTTTCCTGACGCCCCAGCGGCGCCGGGCAACGCCAAAGGCTGGAGGATCGCGCTGGCGGCCGCGTGCCCGGCCTGCAACAAGGCATGAACTGACTCTGAGATAATGTCTGCAAAAAATACAATATTGATGGTGTCCTTCCATGACACGGGGGTCACTGGAGACGTGGTGTGAGCTCAGAGGCGCTGGCAGCCGAGGGATGGGGGCTGGGAGGAAGGAATGGGGTGGTGTTGGATACCTGGGATGTCCCTTCTGTGGCACATTGCCAGCCAAATCAGCTTCTGCATCCAGCTCCATCCCTCTCACTCAACCCCCCCCAGAATGGCAGGAATCAAGGAAAAGTTCCTCCTCCACATCCTGGAATGCCACCCACAGCCCCTTCCCCAAGCATCCTCTCCAGCTGCTGAGCTGGAGGAAAATGTGTTGGAACAAGCATGGAGTGTGAGTGGGGAAATAAAAAAAAACCTGAAAGGGAGGAGAAATCAAACAGGAGATCTCGTGTGAGTGTTCCTGGGAAGGAATTTGGGAGATTTTCCACTGCTTAAATCTGGAATAATAGTGACAATGAGAAGAAATGTCCCATCAGTCAATTAGTAATAAACAGGATTCTGGGGGCTTGACATCTTAGATGTGTTCTTAAAAGGAAGTGTTTACACCCAAAAATCCCAGCCCCAGGCTGGCAGGATCTTCTGAATGGGAGTGTGAAACCAGCTCAGCAGAAAAGAGGGAGACACAGTGGAGAGTGCAATGGAAGCCAAAGAGGGATAGGATGCTGCTCAGGAAAAACGAGATGACCAAAAAAAACGGGAGGAAAAGCAGATATGGGGGGAAACCAGTCCTGCAGAACCTTGGGAACAGGCAGGTGTCAGTGAGGGAGGACTTGTAGGAAGAAATGCTGAGCCTGCTGCATATTTGGGACCAAAGAGCAGAAGGCTGTGGGGTCTGCAAGGAAAAACAGAAGAAAAAGGAAGAATTTAAGCTAAAAGCTGTTGATGGTGCTTTCCCTTGGGACAGTAACAGAGGCAGAATCTCACAGGAATTGATTGCAGGTTCCAGCCCCGGGCTGGAGGGATCCCAAGGGAGTTCTGAGTGATTGTCAGAGGCTGCTCCTGCAATCCAACAGGCTCAAGGCCTGATGCCATGAGAAAGGTTTGAGAATGCTGAGCTATTTCCAGAGAGCAAATTCTCCCCTGGTTAGGTTTGGGTGTTGAGTGCTGACATTAAGGCTGACAAATCTCAGGAGAGCTCTGGGAGAAACAGAGGGACCTGGAGATATCACATAATCATCATCCCTGCCTCCACACACAGGGATTGGCTTCAGATTACTGCAATCAGACTCTGGCAAGGAGCAACCAGAGGGAAAAGATGGGCTAGGCTGCTGGAAATAAAAGTTGTTTGGGGAAAGAACTCTGCGAAGAATTTGTAGGTCGTGCTAAAGCCTGAGTTTAGATCTCCCCAGTCAGACTGGGACTGAGTCATCATGGAGGCTTTAATTTTTGAGGCACAGATTGCAGAGCAAATGTTGCTTATTGCAGGCACCACTTATTCCTGAGCACGATAATAAACAGACTTTGTCTCCAAATGGTTACTGATCCAGGACGACACGAGGCTATTTTAGTAGGATTTCAGGGAATGTGAAGACATTACAGAAGAGGATGACCTAGAAAATGAGCATGGGGCCAGTGATCAGAAGTTGATGCCATTTCAGTGAAGTGCAAGGAGGTATTAAAGCAGGTCAGTAGCTGGGGCTGTTTGGGGTGATTAAGCACATTAAATTACCAAGGTGGCAACGAGGACTTTTCCTGTATCCAACAAGCTGGGAGTGGGACCATATGCCTGGAGTTTACCCAACACAGCTCCCACGCTCAGGGAAGTGGGGCAGAGCAATCGTGACAGCTAAAGAGCCTTTCTTCTGACCTCAGGAGTTCACTTCCATTTCCAGCCACTTTTGGAGGAGAACACAGAACAGAGTCTAAAATAATAAGCTTTTAAAAGGATGGGTCATGTGCTGTTCAAGCACATCCCCCAATGGCCACAAGGCCACACGCTGCAGTGAGAAGCCAAAAATGAGAGAGGGCCTGAAGGAACTGCCAAAATTCCCTCCCCTGAGGAGCCCAGGAGCAAAACCACCTTGGGAGAGCTGGTGACAGGAACTCAGGGCTGCTGCTCCTGGGATGGAAATGGGATTTCTCTGGCAGACCTTGAA